AAACATGACCATAACTATATAAACATGGCGATACCTGTATAAACATGGCGATACCTGTATAAACATGGCGATACCTGTATAGACAAGTGCATGCTAGTATAGATACAGCTGTGCCTGTATAAACATGGGCATAACTGTATAAACACGGCGACACCTGCATAAACATGATCATACCTGTATAGACAAGTGCATGCTGGTATAAATACGGCCATGCCTGTATAAACATGGCCATAACTGTATAAACATGGCTATAACTGTATAAACATGGCCATACCTGCATAAATATGGCCATTCCGATAAAAACGTGACTATATCTGTATAGACGTATTGCCATACCCATAAATATGGCCATGTTGTATAAACCAATGCTTAATACATTCATTTATAGGAATTTCTTCTGGTGAGATATTTCCTATCATGGTGACAGCAGTAACTACAGGAGAAATCTTCACAGGGCACAAGGGGCACCTTCTCTGTCAAGATACATCACTCATGAACCACATCCTCATTCAGAACTGTTACTGTCTGTACACCTTCTGTTACTGCCTGTAGACCTACTGTTACTATCCATACACCTACTGTTACTGTCTGTACACCTTCTGTTACTGTCTGTGCACTCACAACATGAGAAAAGCATCAAAATATCCTAACTGAAGTCTAACTGTTTCAACCTCTCCGATGTGGGGTTGAGAGAGCAGGCTGAGTGAATTCTGTACAAACTCTAGAGTCAAGCTCACACTCTACCTGAGAGATCGATCCAAGCCAGCCAGCATCTGGTAGAAGACATTAAACGATCCCGCATAATTTGCTTGCTGTGGTACATGAATTCGCTCCAGTAACATTGTCTGAAAAAGTAAATTTCAATAAAATTGAAAAATTGAGAATATGCACGTATGTTTCTGCGCCTGTATGTGCTGGTGAGAGCATGAGAATTAATTTGTTTGTGTGCGCGCGAATATCGGGGGCGAGTGCAAGTACTGGGGGCGAGCGCGAGTACTGGGGGCAAGTGTGAGTGTTGGAGTGTGGGCGAGTACTGAGGGCGAGTGCGAGTACTGGGGGTGTGTGCGAATACTGGGGGCGTGTGCGAATACTGGGGGCGTGTGCGAGGGGCGGGGGCAAGTGCGGAAACTGGGGGCGTGGGCGGATGCTGGG